CAAGGATAAGAGACTCTAGGGAAGAAGAAGTGGAACAATGCTTGGAGCAACCCTTGTGAGTCCCCGCACAAGCTTCCCCTCACAAGATCCTCTCTCTCTCTCTCTCTCTCTCTCTCTCTCTCTCTCTCTCTCTCTTTCTCTAGTCAAGGTCTTCTCAGGTCAAGGCAGAAGCAAAATATTGTTCAAAAACATTGAACAAGAGCTCTTAGATAGAAGAGCTTCAAAGGAGCTCATTAATTACAAGTTGTCGACAATATCATCCAGGCCGATATGGACATCGTCCAGGCCGATCAGTACAAATCTCAGAAGATCGGCCAGAGCATCGCCCTGAATGCAAACTGGACGATTGAAAAATTGGCATGATCTTCTAGGATGATCTCACGATCATCCAGGCCGATCAGTTCAAATTAGAGGAAAATTGTCCAGAGCATCGCCCTGAATTCAAGCTGGCCGATATTTATCGTCTAGAAGTAACTAAGGTTTTTGAATCGATCGTCCTGGCCAATCCTGCGATCATCCAGGACAATGTGATCGTATCAATTATCCTTAATTACTTTCTTGATTTGTTTGATCAATTAAGGCATAATTGTGAATATCATCCAGGTCGATCAAAGATCGTCCTGGCCTATTGCCAAAAATATAGAATACCTTAATTGTTTATGGTGATAATTTCTTTCTGTTTTGAGCTTATCATCATAGCCAATACACGTATTATCCAGGATGATTGGCTAATGACAGCTGCCTTAATTAAGAATCCATGATTAGATTTTCTATTTTAAGCCAGATCATCCAGGACAATGTAAAATATCATCCTGGCCGATTTGAGTAAAAACAGAAATTGTAAGTCACTCAAGTGTGTGTGTGTAGGGTTACTTAGCGTCAGTCTCTTCGAACATTACAAATAGACTCAAGAAGAGAAAAAGCAAAGTACAGACTGACTCAACCCTAACCTATGCAAACTTGAACTGGCTTCGTTTGTTCGTCCGATCTTTGATTCCTGAAAAGTTAGAAGTAACAGACAGTCCAAGAGAATCAATAGTTTTTGTTAATCATCAAAACCTAAGTCATGAAAATAGATTTGCAACATTCTCTTCTTTGGGAAGGATTTACTGCTTTTGATTAGCAAAATTCAGATTTGCCAAGGAGAAGAGGACTGCATGGAGCTGAGAAAGAAACTGTTAGGGAAATCAATATCGGCTTTAATAAGGGAGGAGTCTGTAAAGGAGGAGGCAGATATGGATCCTTACTCATGGATTCATAAGTTGAATTTGAATGCTCGGATGAAGTTATTCATATGGAGAATATGCAAAGGTGCAGTTCCTACAACAGATTTTTTGGTGAAAAGGAAGCTGGCTGAGAGTAATATATGTCCAAGAGGCTGTGGGGAGGTTGAGAATGTAGACCATGTGACCACCATTTGTTCAAAGTTGTTAAAGGTAATTTGTAGACTGAGAAAATGGGGATTTCTTATTCCTTTTTTCAATTCCTTTCAGCATTGTATGGAGAAGATAAAGTCTTTATCAATGGAGAATCCGGTGATGGTGAAGATATATTGCTCTTTGTTATGGCACCTGTGGAGCAATAGGAACATGTCTAAACATGGGAAGAATGAAGATAGTGATATAGTTATTACTACTAGTGTGCTCTGCTTTGTAAGTTTAGATAAACGGAGCAAGATTCTCTCAAATTACTAGGTTATTGGCCAGTCCTATGGACTGTTTTCTGATCTCTGGCATCCCCCTCCACTCGAGTGGTACAAAATTAATATAGATGCTTTGCTGAAGAATAATTATGGAGCAGGTATTGGAGGCATTGTAAGGGATGACAAAGGGAGATTTGTCCGTGCTTTTTGCATTTATGGAGTTCATTAGGACTTAGCACAAGTAGAGCTTTATACTTTCAATTCTTTGAAGAATGTTTTGAATAATTGTATAGACAATGCCAATGGTGTTATTATAGAGGGAGACAATAAAAATGTTATCCAATTTCTTTAGAAGATTTATAACAATCAGAAGAAATTAGGTGGAGATATTGAAGATGAAGATTACTTTGGCTAGGATAATTGGAAAAATGTTATTTTTCATTTTGTTGGTAGAAAATGTAATAGGTTAGTAGACTAATGTGCTAAGTTAGCCTTTTCATATGATTTCATTTGGGATATGTTTTGTGAGAGTACACTTCCTTCCTCCTTTATTAAACTAGTAAAGGAGGAAAGTGATTTGGTGGTTAACTCTCAAGTAGCTTGTATCTAGGCAATTTGGTTTGGTTTATTTAATGCAGTTTGCATTTCTTTCAAAAAAAAATGTCATTTTTAGACAAGTAAATTTAAGGTGTTCAAATGAAAGTGAATCTCAAGTGAACATATTTAAAATGATGTTTAAATGAGATATCTACCTGAATTGCATGGAATTAATGATTAAATTGAGAAAATTCTAGTAATCATATTACCTAATCTACAAGAATTTAACTAGATAGATGCCATAAAAGCAAACTCATACCCATATTTTATAGTATGTCATAAAAGTGGGCTTATACCTAAAGATAGATTTGAGCAGGATAGCAGCGAGCTTATACCTAAGAACAAATTTAGACTTGAATATGAGATCTATCTCAAACAAGTACAATTAAGGAATTCAAATGAAAAATAATTCTTAAATGAATGAACTTAATAGATAGATTGAAAAAATAAAAGGGACCGTACTACCCAATAAAACATATTTCAAAAGTAAGGGATGCCATTAAAGTGAGCTTATAGCTAAAACTTAAGAAAATTTTTATATTTGATTAAGAGATCAAACCCAAATAAGTTTGTTTAAGAAATTTTCTTGAGAAGGAACCCTTAATTAATAAATTTAAGTAATCGTATCTTGATAATACTAGAGTTCATATTACCTAGTCAGCCAAAGTCTAAAAGGAAAGGATTCCACTAGGAAAATTTATACCAATCTTTAAGGATAAATTTAATCAAGCATTAGGAAATTTAATCTTTACAAGCTTTAGTAAAAACATTTGGGCACATTTCTATAATCTTGACCCCATTCCTTACAAAAAAAAAAAGACTTCAAGATACTCAAGCAATTTTTGAAAAAGCCACAAATTTTATTTATTGAATTGTTCTTAATAATTTAAAAATACTATCCATCATAGTATCTCTTGAATTAACTCTCGTTTATTGGTAATATAGGATGATCTTCTTTACAATCATCCAACTAATAGAAACCTCCTTGGTAGACCTTTTCCACAATGAATTGGCATTCCCAGGTTGGCTCAAATATATCACCCATCTCTCGAAGGGCCAAAATGGGTCCTCTTAGAATAAGAACCAAGCCTGTTACTTGGTAAGTTCTCAAACAAGCTATCTTGTCTTTTGCTTAAATCATTTTAGCTTTATATAACTAGAGATTCTTTTGATCTTGCAAATGCTTATCTTCAAAACTTATGAGTTCTTGTACTTTAACTTTAGTATTTTGTTCTTCTATAATTTTATAATTTTTGTACAATGCATAATGAAGGTAGATATACTTAAAAGGGAGAATGACCTATATTACAAACACGAAAGAAAATGATATAGATTTAGTGGAAGTTATGTACATAGTTTGATATGCCCATAATACATTTCCAAGCTTTTCATGCCATTGATGTTTATTATTATGCAAGATATTCATTATGATATGCACCAAAGTTTATTGAAGGCATCAGCTAATCCATTTATACAATGATAAAAAATAGTTGAGTATCTCCAAACTATTTAATGATGTTAAGCAAAATTATTTATTTTGGTGCTTCTATAGGATGGACCATTGATTGATATGACTTAGAGTGGAGCAACAAAATTATATATATCAATTGAGTCATCAAATAATTTAATGGAATTCTTACAATATTGAGTTTAGTTTATGAGAAAGCACGTAGTGCTTCAAATTTTGAGCAGAAAAAATCAATGTTATATAATGCTTCTCTATTGGAAGACAGCCATTTTGATTAGTAACAACCTTCTAGTCATGTAATAAAGTGAATTAGGTTTACCTTCATCATTAAACGGAGCTAAAAAGGTACCAAGAAATTATCTCAAAACTACTTTAAATAAGATTAAGGGCTTCCCCAGAATATGGACAACCAACTCTAGCATTTTTTCAAATATTATTTAATACTATCAAAAAATTTCATACAATTTTTGTCCCACTAGAAATGAACATCTTTATTATAATGAGCTACAAATGATTGGCCTCTTCCTAATAAATTTGATATAAACCTTCTTAGATATGCTAATCAATATTGAAGAGATCTAAAATGAGTGAGAGCTTTAGGTGATAGCATCTCCAATATTACATTAATTTTTTAAGGAACTATTTCTATTATGTAGTTTCTAGTTACAAAACATAGAAACTTTCATGAAGTAATGCCGAAGGATCACTTCACAGGATTCATTTTTTTAGATTATACTAACATAATCTTTGGAAAATAATTCTTAGATCACATAAATAATTTAATCTTTTGAGACTATAAATGACTAAATCATTAATATAACATTACACGTAGTGGTGGATGATTTTGTGGAAGATTCTCATTATTTCTTGATAAAATGTCACCCTAGCATTGTTTAGTTTGACATGCATTACTATATAACAAGAAATTATTATTTGTGTTTTGAAATCTATAAACTTCTCAACTATATGAGCCATCTTTATTTGATTATACCTAAATGAACCATCCATAAAGAAGAGTATTGTAAGTGATGATGCAATATCTATCATATATAGGAAGCAAAACACATTATTAGGACATGTTTTATTTAGATCTTTGAAGTTGATGTAGATAATATTTTGATTAATTTTCTTTTCACTGGAATAACACAAGATAATTAGGATGGGTAATTTTCATCCTTGAGAAAACCAACCTCTACTAGTTTCTTGACTTCAATGAAGACTTGTTGCTCAATCTCAAGTTGTATATACCAGGGTGTTTATTTTATGGGAACCACATTGAGCTGAATCTCTAGTTTATAAATTGTAATATCTAGAGATAATTTGGGCATTTCTTTGAAACTCCAAGCAAAACAGTCTTTAAACTCTTTGAGAAACTCAATATATTGAGTTGCCTCATCCCCATTTAATAATAAGCTAATGAAGATCATATGAGAGTCGTATTTGTTGCCCAAATTTATTTCTTTAATAATATACACTATTAATTTAATTTCGTCTTCAAACTTAGGGAAAGAATCCTTAATTTGAGAGTCATGTAGATCATCTAAAGTCTCTAAATAAAATTTTTTAAAAGATGATTTAACATTAGTAAAATAGACTATAAAACTTTATATTATTGGTTATAACTAAATAGTATTTATTAGCATCAAAAGGGTAAAGAGTACTGAACCCTCACCTAATTTAGATTTATTTTTATAAAATTTAGTTTTCCACAGGTTTTTAAACTATTGAGCTTCACCTCTAATCCAAGTTGATAGTGTAAAACCTTGTTTGGCAAATATATTAAAATAGTTAGAATATCATTCGAAAGCTAGCTATATTATTTCATCCATAAAAGGATCATGAAGGATTAAATTTGTGTTTACACTTCTATGTTGGTTTTAGATTTTTCATTCAAAGTGGAGAAACTTTAACTACCAACCCAATCTATATCATTTTGAGATAGTGGGGTTAGAGTTACATTCTATACATAACTTTCCAATCTCTACTTGGAAGAAATTTCTAGATTACGTTTTTCAGCAACATGGACCATTTTCTCATCATCGTTTTATTCTATAAGAATTTTAAACTTTGGTTGTTCTATCACATTTTTATATTTTACATCCTGCCTTTTTTTTGTTAAACATATGATTCATCCTCTGAATTGGACTCCAAATAAATATGTATTAAAGGCAATTTTAAAAATATACTTTCTTTATTTTTTTTCTTTTGACATTTTCCCATCCTTGACCTATCCCTTTAGACTATTGAGAAATTATATCATGTCTTTGTGAAGCAGAACTAGGACATTAGAAATACTTTTTTGAAATAAATAGATCTACAACGAGGGCGGGGGGGGGGGTTGAATTAAATAAAAACTTTGTTCCAATAATTAAAAAACCTAAGCAGGTAGTTCTAATTTTTTTTATGTTTTTAAATTTTTAACATGAAAATTTAAACTATTATGAAGTCAAATAATTAAACTCAACGTGCAACAGTATAATCCTTTTCTTCCATAAGTTTCACCAAGCACATATTATGAAAATTAAGTGCAAGTAAAAGTAAATAGCGATAAGGAAAAAACACGCAAAAATTTTATAGTGGTTCGGTCAAACCATGACCTACATCCACTCCCCAGAGTCATCTGCTCTGAGAATTTCACTACAAACTATAGCACTCCTTTTGCCCCCCTTGGAAAGATAGAGAAGCCCTTATAATACTCCGTTTCACCAACCCAGCGTGGCGGAGTGCCAAGTGCTGTTTTCACCCTCCTGGTGATGGCAGAGAACCTTCTCATTTTTCTCCCTCCTGGAGAAGGCAGAGTACCTTTGAGGTCACGAATGTAGAAGATTCTCCTCCTTAGAGAGCCTCCCAGAAGTTCTTCCCGGGCCATAGAAGGAGCAAAATGCAGCAAGTATGGAGCAACCGTGTGATCTTCCTCTCACCTCTTCTCACTCTCCAAGCTCACCTTCTCCTTCCTCTCTTAAACCCTCTAAAATTCTCAAGAGCTCTCTCCCAAGGATTTTCTCTCTAATCACATTCTCCCCTTTATGTCTATCTCTCAAAACATAACAATTTGACACATAAAACATGCTTGAAAATCCCTGAAATTTTCAAAGTAGCCATTACAATCGTACAATTCGATTTAACATCGTACACTATGACATGTATAAACAGGCTTCATCCTG